TTCTTTCGTTACGTAAAAGTAAATAAGTAAAGTACTACGTACTACAATAAACGTAAAAGTAAATTTACTTTGTACTACTAAGTAGTACATATATATATATATATATATATATATATATATATATATACACACACTATCACAAACCAACGACTGACCTGATTACACAAATAACTCTAAAAAGTTACTTGCTCACTTTCTCTTATCTTCTTGTTATCTCTATTTATTCGTCGAAACAAACTCAACATATACGAAATTGAAGTAAAAGACACCTGAATAACAAACAGGCTAACTCAATAGTCAACCCACCACTTAACAAATCTACGAAATAATGTGTGCACTAGCGTAACTCGCGTTTTTATATCACTCAAATAGTAATCGTAAGCTTTAAAAACATTTCGGAAGTTTAGCTACGCGGTCATCACGTGACGTCAAAAACCCCTCTAGCTAAAACTAATACAAGCATTTAATTAAGATAACAAGGTTATACTTTACAGGAGTACAAACAGGAGCCATAAGAAACAACATTTTAATATATCTTGGGCTCTTTTTTTTTCTAAGTCATTGAATGGTGTTTAAAGCAGAGAATCATAACAGGGGGTGGGGAGAAGAGAGTAAAGCTTACTTTATATTAGCAAAACACATTTCCAAGAAAGAGATGCTCCTTAGGTACGATCATGTTTCAGAGTTTTTAAATATGGATGACCTTCGTACAAGCCGTTACTGTAGCAGTGACGTGGGTTTGAAAAGTCTCAAGGTCATGTGGTATATAAATACGAAAGTACTAGTTATTTTATCATTTATGTTTTCAACACTAGCTATATTTGTTAAAGATCAGATGATTGACGAATAAACTGTCTTAGAGGAGTGCCAAAAATCCTAACACTTTCACTTGTTTAATGTAAAGATTAGCAGGAGACTATCGTTTTTCTTCTGTAACTTTTGGGAAGTTGTTCTTTTTGGTTTTTAAACAACCTCACTGTTGACAAGTAGATTTCCTTATCAAATAATAAAATGACTGACACTAGGTCAACAGTTTTAATTCCTTTTTTTTTAGCCCAAAAAATGTACACTGGAGTTAACTGTGGAAAATCCCATGCTAATTAAACTTATTCAACAGAAAAATTTATTATTTTTCAAATTGCTTATGTAGCAGTGTATTGTTATTTTTGTTTCTTTTTTGTTAAGTAACTTTGTTTTTTTGAAGAAAACAGAAATGGGTCTCGAATATTTGTCTAAAAGTTTACCTTTGTAAATTTTAACAAATTCAAAGCAACATTTCAGGTAATCCTCAATTTAATGAGTTGTTTTTACATAAAATATAATGGAAAATGTTACTGGTGACATTAACATTTTCCATCATATTTAGTATTTTTTATGTTTTGCCTTTTATAATACTCAGTGTAAAGAACTAATCCAAAAAATTGGATGAAATCACTTCTTTTTTAAGTAAAATACATAGGGGATTCCAGCAGAGGGTAGTTCTAATATTGATGGTATGTTTGTTTCAGTTTTTGTGTGACTTGTATGTTATTACAGGCTCCGTAACCAACAAACATTATGGACCCACAAGCAGTTTGTTGCATAAATAGTTTAGGAAAATGTTCACAAAGCTGATGTAGTCCACATGTATATAGTTGGTAATTCTAGATTTAATGTTTTATTATAACATGATGTTGCCTGTGATACAGTTAGCAATAATTTTATCGTATATCTTGTATGACAAATGTGAAGAGCTGGTTTTACTTTTAACACTTCTAGATGCAAATTTTTAGTTTTCAGTGAAATGATAATTTAACTTCAAGTTATCATAGGTAATATTACTGCTACACTGTAAGTAAAGTTACACTTGATTGTATTTTTCATCTGCCAGAGGCTACGACTGGTACATCTTAGAAATACCATGTTATCTTAAAGTGTTATCACAGATTTGTATGTTTTGTTTCAGGGGATAGGATCAATTATGTTAATCTTCCTCATGTGATTGCTATGGTGGGCCTGCCTGCTCGGGGGAAGACTTACATAGCCAGAAAACTGACTCGTTATTTGAACTGGATTGGGATCAATACAAAAGGTAGTATGTATGGGGTTGTTTACACTGTCTAAGTGACTCTATAAGTATATTGTGTATTTTTGAAGGTGGTACTATGTATACACTTAACACTTTATAATTCTCTATCTTTTATTTCCAATTAGTTCCATATTGTTTCAACTGATATTAATTGTAATTGACTGGTTTTAAATACTAGGTTTGTAATTTGTTCTTTAAACATTGTCTCAATTTTTTATCAATGTCTTACCATTTTTCAACTTGGTAACTCTGTACTCTCAGTTTAAAAGAAATAACTTCGATGTCACCTAAACTCTGACTCCTTGTGATTATCATAGTTCTTGTTATCTAGTAATATATCGTGCCTCTAGCAATACTTAAAGTTAAGTATTTCTTTTTATGCAAATACTTATGACAAAATTTAACTAGACCTAACCCTAACCTGACTTCACCTATGGAAAAATATGAGTGTTTTTATTTCCAGGATGTTTTAGAAAAAAATGTTCAGAAATAGGTAAATCGTTTCAACATTGTAGGTTTATTTCATATAATTTTCACATTTGAAAACTTGAAAAGATTGATTTTGGACATGACTTCTTGTGGGTTTCCACTGCAATTCTTGTTTTATAATTCTGACTTTTAACAATCTCATAACATACTAGATCTTTGCTATTATTGGAAAGTAAATCTTTTATTATGTAAATAATAGTATTCTTTGCTTTTAAGCAAATTTGAAGGTTTAAAGGTAGATAGAATTAATTATGTTGTTTGAATATGTTTAACTTTGGCGGATTTTATAATTATTGATCGTTAGTGATTTCAATTGATTTATTAAGTCGTTAACCACAAATCTATGAGTCAGTTAGACCACATATGATATTTCCTTAACTGTCTTGTAAGTGTTACAAGTGTTGTATCAGGAACACCGTGGTGTTTGTCAACCCTAAAACTGAAAACAACTGAAGATGATACAATGATTTTCTTTTTTGGTAGATGGAAAAATGTTTTGCTAAACTTTACATGAGGTCACGGTGTTATTGCAGTACAACATCTAGGAACTTTACAAAGTCAGTAATCATGGAGAGCTGTAAGGACAATTGACAGATTTTCTGTAAATATTGAACATGCATCAGAGGACTGATGGTGGAAGCATAAGGTTCAAAGCTTTCTTGCAAGTGTAAAGTAGCAATGTTTCTAATGCTACTAATTCAGCAGATGTTGATGCATTCCTGACAAGATATCAGTTGCAAAAAAAAGCAATTTGTAAAACAGGCTAGAGAAGACTTTCCATTGGTGCTAATAAAAATGCCAAATGTCCACAAAGAAGCACGTCTGCCTACAAGATTGGGCATGTTTACAAAAATTGTCAGAAGACATGGACAGCCATGACCAGAGCAGAAAGAGTAATTATCTTTGGTGAAATAGAAAACCACTATGAAAACTCTATCTATATATTTAAAACAAAAAAGCCATAGCAAAAGGCTTCTAAGATCAAGCCCTACAGATCCCTATATTTTTCCAGATCTCGTGTGAACCCTATTTTGTTATCAAAAATTACATAACTGGTCCGGCTGACTCTGAGATTTGTTGTTGAAGGCAACATGATATTATCCTTATGTAGTTCTGAAACAGTTCTTTACTTTTTTTTATCTAGTGTTTAATGTGGGAGAATATCGTAGACAAGCCACAACAGTTTACAAAAATCATGAATTTTTTAGTCCAGACAATAAAGAAGCTATGGCAATACGCAAGTATGTCTTTGATGAAAGTTACTTAGTTTTTACTAAAGAAAAGTATCACTTTTATTGACTGCACTTTCTAGAATATTTTATTGAAAATGTAAGACACAATTCTCTAACCAAAAAAACATCTTATTTTTATAATTATGAACCTGTTTGCAATTTTTATTGCACATCTTAAAACATCTTATTTTTATAATTATGAACCTGTTTGCAATTTTTATTGTCACAAAAACATCTTATTTTGCACTTGATTTTTATGACTCAAGTTACCTTACTTTGTCAGTTATATTTAAATATTTAAGTCATAAAAATCACACTGCTCATTACTTTGAAAATTGTATACCAGTTGTTCACTTTTTTGGTGTAAAAATTGCCTCATTTTATACTTCTTTGCCATACAGAGACATCACTAGGCACTGGCACATGGGGGCCCATGCCTCAATTCTATATGACAATGCCCCAAATCCTCAGTTGATGTCTTTAAAAATCAGAATAGAAAACCATGATTGATATCATACAGAAATGCCAAAACTTTCTGTGCCTGTTGGCCCGAGTCTGAATATTTTAAGTGTCTAGTGGCACCTCTGTTTAAAAGTTGGATACCTTTTTGCATTCTTTATGCAACTTAATTAAAAGAAAGGTAGACAGGTTTCTATAATTGTAATATGACAGTTTAGGTTCTCATTGTGGTTGTGGGGATACTTCTTAAATTTGAAACAAATTCTGGAGCGAAATAAAGTTTTTGTGATTACATAATTATGTATATTTGTATTGGGTAAAATAGCAAAGTATAGGGTATAAATAAGTCACTTACTAAAAAGTGTTGATGTACGATCAACGAGCGTCTGTGGTAACAAACCATATTAGGTAGTTTTTCACAATAACTATTATCTGAACGAAAGAAAACACAAATCATTGTGTTTCTGAAAAGTTTTGAACTTAATCAAGGTTGTACAGTTTTCCCTCATAGTTTATGTTGGTATGCCAAGTGTCATGAAACTTGCGGTGAATGTTATTTGTAAAAAATTCACTTTTAACTTGTTCAGTACAGGCTAGTAGCGATTTTCTAAACTTAAGTCTATTTTGCCAGTTATTGATATATAACTAGTCGTGTATTATTCTGTATCATAAAACGTAGCACTCTGCGAGTAAAAATTAGTCTCACTTTTAAGTTAGTTGTACATAGCATAAAAATATACCTGTCAAAAATTAGTATGTTCAGCTATTACATGAATAAAGAACTTTCATATAGTAGAGACCAGTGTATTTACATTGCAAGGCTGTTGAGGTTGTTTAGTTTCATTGTTGCTCTGCCACACACACTAGTACCAATTGAAGTTTAAACTGAATCCAGTCTGATGTGTGTATTTACATTGCAAGACTGTTGAGGTTGTTTAGTTTAATTGTTGCTCTGCCACACACACTAGTACTAATTGAAGTTTAAACTGAATCCAGTCTGATGTGGTTTGGTAAACTTACACAGCTTGTAATGAAATTGAGAAACTTGTGTAAAAATAACATGAAACTGTTGGTCTATAGAATCAAGGGTGCTACTGTTGCGTGTGGTTTACAAAAATATTTACACTACAGTGTGTGGTCTACACGGATACTATCATCATCACCATCTTAATGATTCACTAAAACATAAGTTCTTGCTAAATGATTTATATCTATCCATATTTTAATTAGCAAATAATAATAAATAATAAGTTGTGTGTTCCAAAAGAGAACCTTAAATTTAGGTTATAATTGTGCTAGTTTTGATTGTTAGAATTTATTTCATTCCAGTTATATTTGCCTTAAAAACATAATGTAATTGTATTTTATACTTTATTAATTTAAAAGCGTTATTTATGATAAATGGTGCCAATTGCAAATAAATGAAAAACGGTGATGATGATAGTATCTGTGTAGACCACACGCTGTAGTGTAAATAATTCTGTAGACCACACGCTATAGTAGCACCGAATCAAGCTACATTCTATGAAAAAATTTCATCAAGTGAAGGTTGTCCATTTAACCAAAACTTAACATGATTTAAGACTTAGATTATAGAAAATTTTAATATATTGACTCACTACATTCGCCTAAATCCAGTTAAAAAAACTTAGTATTTTGCAAAAGGACTATTTTTGTACAAAAAATGTGAAAATCATTGTAATAGAACCTTAAGTTTTTAGATAACGAAAACATTCAGTTCCATATAGTTGTGTGTGTTTGTTTGTATTGTTGACTATTTGTTTAATGTACTGAAAGTACCTGAATTGTATTAGCAGCTACATTAAAGTAATTTCTTTTTATTGTACATTATATAAATTGTAAATTGACTAAGCTGTTGGCAGTTATTGCATCATAAATCTCTATGAGATGTGATATACATAGAATGTGTGTATTTCAGTTATACAGTTTTGTGTAGAACACGCAATATGCATTAGTATGTGTGTATTTCAGTTATACTGTGTTGTGTAGAACACGTAATATAGTATGTGTGTATTTCAGTTATACAGTGTTGTGTAGAACACATAATATAGTATGTGTGTATTTCAGTTATACAATGTTGTGTAGAACACGCAATATGCATTAGTATGTGTGTATTTGAATTATACAGTGTTGTGTAGAACATACAATATGCATTAGTATGTGTGTATTTGAATTATACAGTGTTGTGTAGAACATGCAATATGCATTAGTATGTGCGTATTTGAATTATACAGTGTTGTGTAGAACACGCAATATAGTATGTGCGTATTTCAATTATACAGTGTTGTGTAGAACACATAATATAGTATGTGTGTATTTCAGTTATACAATGTTGTGTAGAACACGCAATATAGTATGTGCGTATTTGAATTATACAGTGTTGTGTAGAACACGCAATATAGTATGTGCGTATTTGAATTATACAGTGTTGTGTAGAACACGTAATATACATTAATATGCGTGTATTTGAATTATACAGTGTTGTGTAGAACACGTAATATACATTAATATGCGTGTATTTGAATTATACAGTGTTGTGTAGAACACGTAATATGCATTAATATGCGTGTATTTGAATCATACAGTGTTGTGTAGAACACGTAATATGCATTAATATGCGTGTATTTGAATCATACAGTGTTGTGTAGAACACGTAATATGCATTAATATGCGTGTATTTGAATCATACAGTGTTGTGTAGAACACGTAATATGCCTTAATATGCGTGTATTTGAATCATACAGTGTTGTGTAGAACACGTAATATGCCTTAATATGCGTGTATTTGAATCATACAGTGTTGTGTAGAACACGCAATATGCCTTAATATGCGTGTATTTGAATCTTACAGTGTTGTGTAGAACACGCAATATGCCTTAATAT